AAGTGGGCAGCATACGTTGTTATCTCTCTTCTGCAGCTGTGGTGGGGCGTGCCTTTGATCAGAGTTCTTCTGCCTGTCAGTGCTGTTGTTCTTTACAAAGACAGCGAAGCGGTCGCTGATCATCTTTATTGGATGGCTTTTTCTCCTATGCCTTGCTTTGCTTTGCATCAGTTCATGTAGATCTTCCGGGTTTCTCTGAAATTGTCCCCCTTATCATTTCTTAATGGTGTAATAGTCTTCCATGATATTCAGATTCCATCTTTTATGGAGCCATCTGTGTGTGGATCCCCAGTTCTTCATACTTTACAGTTCTTGGCTTCTCCAAAAAGAGCTGCTACACACATTTTTGTCCTTATTGGTCATTTTCCTCCTTCTGTGATCTGTTTGGGGTATAGGCATTTCTTGGTCACAGGGTAATAACTTTTGGGCAGGGTTCCAGCTTTTCCAGAATGGCTGGGCCAGTTCACAGCTCTACCCACAAGGCATTCACATCCCTGTAACCTTTGCAGCATTGGTCATTTCTCTTTTTTGCTAATCTGATGAATCAGAGTGGTGCTCCTAAATCCCAGATCTGGCTCCCTGCCCCTGTCTGTCTGTCTGTCCCTGTCCCTGTCTCTGTCTCTCTCTCTCTCTCTCTCTCTCTCTCTCTCTCTCTCTCTCTCTCTCTCTCTCTCTCTCTCTCTCTCTCTCTCTCTCTCTCTCTCTCTCTCTCACACACACACACACACACACACACACACACACATATACACACACACACATATACACATGCATACATACATACATACATACACACACACAAAACTTGGTTACCTCATGGTTTCCTGCTTGGCATTTTTTGCTCCTTGTATTGCCACCCCTTGCTGCCTGTCCAGCTTTATCCCCCATTCCTCTTTTTCATGGCCTTTCGGATGCATGTGTTCTCTTCTTGCTATTCCCTGCACATGTCTCTGTGCCCTGGCAGTGGGGGCTTTCCCACATGCCTGGCAGGCACTCTTGGGGTAGCTCTATGGTTATCTGCAGGACTTAGCCCAGAGGCTGCCTTCTGCCAGAGGCCTTTTCTGGTCCCCCCAGGGGGTTGATGTCTTCCCTTCCAAGCTTACCTTGTATCTGTTTTATTTTTATGTATGTTTGTGTGTATGTGGATGTAAACACACGTGATTTTGTCACTCCTGTAGAGTAGGGACTATTGTATGTTTGTTTTTGCAGCCTTCGTCTCTTTTTCTTTTTTGTAGGCAGTTGGGGTGAAGTGACTTGCCCACTTTCAGCCTCGCTGCTTGTAGCCTTAGTTTCTTTTTAAAGATTGTTGTTCAGGAGAAAACATATTTATTCACTGTCTTCCTTGAGGTCAGAGCACAGTTTCACACCTTCACTGGGTGATACCAAATTTCTCTAGCACTCGGTCACTGCTCTCACGGAGCTTACGCACTAACGGGATGCGGTGACACGTGTATAGAGAACTGTGATACCGACCAGGGCCCTGATGAAGGAGGAGGACGTGGGCGTTCGTGTGTGGCAGAATGCCTGGCACAAGAGCAGGTGGTTAACAACTCTGGGTTTAGTGATTTTATGTCATTGGAAAATAGAGTTTTGAAAATGAGTGAAAATCCCTGAGCATCCTGCTGAAACCCCTGCTAGTTCAGAGTTGTTTCGTGATCCTTTACACCATGGGGAAGTAATATGGCTTTTTATATGTTCAAGTTCTTACCTAAAAAATAGAGCTGGCAGCTCCATCTTATGCTTATTTTTTTAGTAGACTTCAAATTCGAGTACTAATAACTGTTCATAGAATTTTTGTGGTTTGTGCATTGTCTAATGGCAGGATGTATGTGTGTGTATTTGGGGAGTATATGTATATATAGTGTTTTTGCATAAAGGAAGATACTCAGTCAAGCTGGTTAGATATGGTTTTATTTTCTTCTTAAATACAGCATATCAAATTTGAATTTATAGGGAATCGTTTTATGGCTGGGAATCTGTTTTCATGACTGCTTGAATGTGACTATTATGTCGATGGGACTTAGTTGACTATGAGAATATAGATTATTGTGAATTAAAGTGTAACATCTGCAGCATTTTGATCATTCTTTTGAGCATTCATTCTGTTATTTAAGCATTAAACCATTGTTCTGAGCGTTGCCGGGCTGGACTTGAATAGCATCATCACTTTTGCCCCAAGGAGACTTTGGGGGTAAATTCTTTTTGTTGGGAGTTCCTTCCTATTTTGACAAATGTTTTCCTTCTTCAGGCTTCTATTTTAGCTTCATCTTTTCCCTAGTCATTCTGTTCACACAGATATTCTCAACCTGGGATCTGTGATTTTGTTTTAAGAGCTATTTGGTAGTTATATTTCCATATCATTGGTATCCTTTATAATCCTATGTATTTTTTTTATTCATTGTGAAAAACACTGTTCTTGAAAAGAGGCACATAACTTTTGTAGAAAGCTGAAAGAATCATGGTATGGAAAATTTGATTGAGAACTGAAACTGTTGTCTCCAAAGTTACCAGTGATCTCCTAGTTTCAAAATTGAATGGCCTTTTCCCACTCTTCTTCCTTCTTGACCTATCAGTGACCCTCATCCCCTGGATATTCTCTTTCCTATAGGATACCTTGTCCCCTGCCCCGGTTCTCGCTCCACCTGTCTGACCCCGCCTCAGGCTCCTTTACTGAGCCTTCAGCAGGGTGATTCCCATGCAGCATGGGGGGCCCATGGGCTCTTCCCTTCTGCTTCTGGACTGTTTTACGTGGTGATCTCTTTGGGTCCCATGGGTTCAAGCATCATCTCTGTGCTGATGATTCTCTGATCTAACTTCCAGGCTCACTTCTGCAGCTCCTGTTGGACATCCAGGACTGAATGCCTCCTTGCCTTGCCCCAAGCCTCCTTTCTTACTAGCTTTTTTATGGAGGTGAAGGGCGCCCCTGCCCTGCCCTTTGCCCTAGCTTGCAGCCTGGGTGTCGTCCTCAGTTTCTCCCTCTCGCGCCTTCCCTCCACATGCAGTTTATCTTGTTGTTTCTACCTTGCCGACATTTCTCTTCTGTGTCCCTTTTCCCCACTCACACAGCTGCTCACCTAACAGAGGCCCTCATCAGGGCCTGCCTGGACTGTTGCTGCCATTCCAGTCTGTCCTGCCTTTGTCAGAATGACCTTCCACTAAGTGCTGGCCTCATCACATCGTCCCCTTCTCAAGAGTGCCCCTCCAGGATCTCCTGTAAAGCCCAGCCCTTCACCACCTGGCCTCCTCTCTGCCTCCCCCCCCCTCCCCGTACTGTGGGATCCAGTGACTCTGGCCTCCTTGTTGTTCCTCCAGCAAGAAGCTCACGCCTCCAGGCTGCTCCCCACGCCTCCAGGCTGCTCCCCACGCCTGAAGTGCTGTCCTCGTCTCTCTTGACTTTTTGGTTCCCTTCGAGTTTCAGGTCAGGCCTCACCTGCGTCTCTTTCAGTGCTGGGGTCTCCCCTCTGAGATTTCTTCCGGTTGTCTTTTGTTTGGTAGAATGCACAGTCCTTGGGGGCAGGCACGGGCCTGCCTTTCTCTGTGCCTTCCACACAGTGAGAGCTCAGCACTTTCTGAGACTGCCTTTGGATGCTCTAAGGTCGACCACGGATGGCCCATCCCACTGCAACTAGACTGTCAGGTGTGCAGTGTGGGTCACAGACAATCACCCAGCATCCTTCCCCGTCCTTGGCTGAGCGAAGGCTCCGCTCCCTCTGGGCTGGTCCTTACTTTTGTCTTTGGAGCCTCGCGTGGTACTAGTTGTTTTCCAGCTTAGTCTTGGCCTCCTCTCTATTCCTGACCAGGTCAGAGGGTCAGAGAAAAGTGTTCGTCTCTTCATAGACCCCTGCATCATAGAGTTACGCTCATCATTGCAAACAATTGGCAGCTTTGTTGAGAATATTTATTTTTGATTGTATATAGTGTAGGCAGAATAAATACTTTGTGTTTGAGTGAATTTACATTACGTATAATGAGCAGCAGCTAGAAATCTTGTAGCGAGTACATCATGCTTCAAGTTTCTCCTCTCAGAAGAATAATTACTAGCATTTAGATAGCACGGTTAGGTTTGCAGAGTGCTTTATGTGTCTTCTTTCTTATGAAGTAGGTGCTTTTATTATCCCCATTTTACATATGAGGAACCTGAGGCAGGCAAGCAGCTCAGTGACTTGTCCAGGGTCATTCAGCTAGCAAGTTCCTGAAGCCAGATTCCAGCTTGGGTCTTCCTGACTCCAGGTCCAGCAGTCTCCATTGTACCACACTGTGGCTCCCATGGACTCTGTGGCACTGGGCAGGTCACGGAACTTCTTGGTGCCCATGGCCTTTGCTCTAAGACTGTGGTGCCCAGGCAGGTTGTCTGTATAGATTGGCAGAGGGGCTTCCCATTGATGAAATCCCAGATGTGGAGGCCCAAGCATTCACCTGTGATTCCCAGCAGGCGCCTGGGCCACGTGCGCTCCCCCTCTCCTCTAGGCCCTAGCCTCCATTGTGCGTCTTCTCTCTGACAGCTGCCCACTGACCCCTGACGCAGATGCTCCCTTTGGGTCCTGGCCTCTTGGTCCACGTTTGTTGCCAGCTCCCTTATTTCCTAGGAGGGCTTCCAGATTGAGGATCACCTGGCTTTGGTTGGGGGTGCCAGTGGGTTGGTCTGTGCCCTCCCCCTCCTTTGCAGTGTGAAGGGGTGAAGGAGCATCCTTGTTGGCTCCCGGCCTTGCTTTTTGGGAGCTGTGGGTTTGTGAAAGTGTTTCCCAGAGGTCAAGGTTGGCCAGCAAGCTAAGCTGGTTTCATGAGAATGTGAGGATGGAAGCCCTTCCTGTGGCCTCATGAACCTTGGGACTGTTTGTCTTCCTCAGCCCCGGCCCCGTTGGCCTCGGCCTCGGATCTTTCCTTTCTCTGCCGAGTCAGCCACCAGCAAGTTCTGGGGGGGGGGGGTTGCTGCCAAGAGGAACCCCTTTGAAATGGTTCATTTTGTGAGTTACCTTGTTTGTCATGTTCCTTGGTTCTAGGCTGCTACGGCGTGGATGGAGAGAGCGACTCCATCATGAGTTCAGCTTCTGAAAACTCCACGGAGCCATGGTTCTGTGATGCCTGTAAGTGTGGGGTGTCGCCCAGCTGTGAGCTGTGTCCGAACCAGGACGGGATCTTCAAGGAGACAGACGCTGGCAGGTCAGCCTCAGAGGGCTCTGGCCCCTCCCTCGCCTGCCTTGGTCCCCAGGTGGTATGCGTGCCAGCTGGACTGGACATGCGGTCGCTCCTCTTTCTGCTGCCGATCTGAGGGTGTTGGCCCAGAGCTGACCCTGGCTGGGAGCACACACATACGGGGCGTGCGGCATTTCCCAGGGCCGTAGATCCTGCCCTTCCCTAAGGAGCATTTTTAGCTTAGCAGCCACTCTCCTCACCATTTCATCTCCTTTTAAGATCCTGTCATTGGACTGTAGACACTGCTACATCTTGCGGTGCCTTTGGTCTAGCCAGGCCAGGACTGATTGGATCATGGGCCCAAGCTGCATCCATTCCCTCAGGGTGTCTGTCTTCCAAGGCCCAGCTGTAGCTCAGCCGGCTCTGTCCTGAGTAAATAACCTAACTCCTGCAAAGACAGAAGAAGCAGGAGCTGCCTGGGAGACTCTGCCTTGTCATTTACCCATTTCTCGTTTGTGCTCATGAGGTCACGTGACCGATGGGGCCTTCGGGATTCTCCTGGCGCTTTCCATGACTGTGTCTCCTCTTGGCGAGTTGTGCTGTGTTTGCCCGTGCTAGCGCTTAGTCAGCAAGCGGTTTATTTGGCTTTTATTTATTTATTTTTTTGGTGAGGCAGTTTGGGGTAAGTGACTTGCCCAGAGTGACACAGCTAAGTGAGCGTCATGTGTCTGAGGCCGGCTTTGAGCACAGGTCCTCCCGTCTCCAGGGCGGGTGCTCTATCCACTGCGCCAGCAAGCTGCCCCAGCAAGCATTGTGTTCGGTGTTGACCCTGTCCTGGGCACTATGCTGAGTGCTAGGAATACAGAGAACGGCAAACCCCACCGGGGAGCTTTGCCCTCGAAGAGCTCCTCTTAAGAGGGGTGGGGTGGGGGACGGGGAGCATGAGGTGAACAAGCCGTGTGCAGGATAGAAGGGCGATGATAATCTGCAGAGGAGGGGCCCTGGCCTCCAAGGGGCTTTCACAGAAGGTGAGACACGAAGCCAGGAGGCAGAGATGCGCAGGGAGCATCTTCCAGGCGAGGGCAGCCAGAGCAGATGCCTGGGATGGAGAGAAGGTGTGTTGTGCATGAAAGCTGGGGCCCTGCCCTGAAGAAGCTGGGCCAGAGAGTGTGCTGTGGGAGCCTGGAAAGGGAGGAAGGGACAGGAGAGGAAGGGCTCCGAAGGCCAACAGAGCGTTTTGTCTTTGCTCCTGAAGGGATAGGGAGCCACAGAAGGTTATTGAGCAGGGGGTTGTCAGATCCCCCACATCAGGAAAGTCACGTTGGTGACTGAATGGAAGCTGGCCTGGAGCAGGGGAGACTCGAGACAGGCAGAGCCCCTGCAGCAGTCACTGCCATAGTCCAGGTGGGAGGTGAGGAGTATCTGCACCAGGGTGGGGGCAGGGGCAGAGGAGAGGAGGGGGCAGATCCAAGGGCTCTTTTGAAGGTTGAGTCAAAAGATTGTGCAGAGGGGCAGCTAGGTGGCACAGTGATCAGAGCACCGGCCGTGGAGTCAGGAGGACCTGAGTTCAGATGTGGCCTCAGATACTTGACACTTGTTGTGTGACCCTGGGCAAGTCACTTAGTCCTACTGCCTAGCCCACAAAACAAAAAAAGATTCTGCAGTAATTACTGGTCACGATGTCTTTCAAAATTTCCTGCCCTCATGAACTCTGAAGCCCAAGACACTTGGCATCGTAGCTTGAAATAGTGGATCGGGGGACTGGCTAGGTGGATAAGATCTGCTCTCCCACAGTCTCCTGGCCAACCCTCTGGGGTTGCTGCCATCCCTCCTTCTGCTTCTGGCTCGCTGCTGCCCCTCCTCCGCTGCTGGGCCCCTGCTCGCCCCATGGGGGAGCGTTCGCCTTCGTGGGTGGCCCTGCACCCTCTGGATAGGCCATGCCCTCGGTTTGTGCTGGGGCTTCCCTCACTAGTCCTGGCCCTGTATGGGCTGTGTGACCTCATAAGAGTGTACTGCCCTGGAAGCTAGGGATGGGACTGCTGTCTTTGGTGCTTATCACAACACCTGGCATAGAACAGGTGCTTAATCAGTGCTTTTTCCTTCAGTCAGTCATGCAAAAAACAGTCTTTATTATCTGGACTCCCTTCTTTTACATTCCTGATGGGAACATAAATAGTTCCAGAAAATTATTGGATTGAATGGAAGAAAAGCACTGCTGTGTTTGTCTCATTAAACATGAGCTCATTCGCAGCGTTCAGAGCTGTGATCCAGTGTTTCTCTTCACTGCCGGCTGCGTCGCACCCTCTGAGGGCTGTAGATCGCGGTGACTGAGCAGCAGCAGCGTGACGCTCTGGCGGGCGGGTGCCCATGGGCACCTGGCAGTGTCGCCTCTTAGTCTTTCATCAGTGTTCTGCAGTGGGGGAGCCACAGGTGACCTCAGGGGCTTAGAGCCTGGCACAGAGTAGGATGCTTGTTGTCTTATGGACAGACAGTAATCAGATTTAAACTATTGTATTTCCTATTGAAATATAATGCTGATTTCTTCCTTGAAGCCTTGTTTGAGCTCCAGTTATATTAAAATGCATATGAATTTTAAAATAAATCCCTTTGCTAAATGAGCCCCTTGCTAGCATGTAAATTCTACCCCCTATTTTTTTGTTTTGTTTTATATGGTTTTTTTCCTGTTCTTTTTCTTAATCAACATCTGTCATCATAGCTCAAGGCAAAAGGGATGGTAGAGTAACAAGGAAGATTATTCTTCTTTGATTACCCAATTTGTCTCAATTACAAGGTTCTAGAGCCTGTCTGGCTTAGCAGATGAAGGGGCAAACATTGCGGTGTGGTAGTAACAAGAACTGACCTCTCTTCTCCCAGGCCCTGCCCCGCCTGGGGCGGGTTCTTTAGTCGAGATCCCTGTGCTCATGCGCCCATCCACTGCAGTGGCAGCTTTGGGCTGTCACACTCGTGTGACGTGGGCGCCGACATTTTACGAAGGTCGGGAGGAAGCGGGCAGCCAGTGGTTAGGTTGATGCTAGATAAACTCCAGCAGTGTGGCTACTGCTGTTGCCACCATGGCCTTTAATACCGTAGGATGAAACAGGCCAATTAAATGGAGAAGCTGCTGCTTGTTGGAGATGTGTATCTCTAAATTGAACTCAGCAGGATACATTTGGGAGGTTGTATTAGAGCAGCTATCCAGAAATCTCAAAAATAGAACCTTGGATTTTCCCAAGAAAAGATAATTGTAAAGATGATGACTGTTTTCCCCACTTGCCCCTTTAAAATGGTTTTTGATCGGATTCCTTTCAAGCCTAGCATGCAGCCCGGAAGGCCCCCCTGTAGAATTTCTAACATCTTTGCCAGGGCCGCGTTATTTTTTATTAATGCAGTCACAAGGGCACACTATCAGTATGTTTAACTTTCATAATTGGTGATCCTGTGAATCTCTTCTGGATTGAATGAGATTGAAGGGTGCAGTCATCCGAAAGTTAAGTTAGCAACATCTTTTTCAGTGCTACGATTAATTCACAGACACTGGGGTGTGCTGTCATTCTGAACCAGTCAGCAACCCTGCAGGGCCAGGAATTGTGTCAGCATTTGGGGTGCTGAGCCTGTCTTTGCTTTCCCACAAACCCTCCTGACAGGTCCTTTCCATACCTGCTCTGAAGGAGTCCCTCCATTCTGGCCTGGCCTGGGCCTGGGCCTACCCTCTACACACCCTGCTTGGGGCCCCCCCCCCATTTCTTTCCCCTTCTCATGCCTGAGCCTTCGCTGCCCATGATCTCTATACCAGTCAGCACTCTGTGAGGTGCACAAGCAAGTCTCCATTGGGTCTACCTTGGGTCTTCCCATTGCCCTTTGGGTTGGGGTCATGTTGAGGGGGACAGTGCAGGGGATTGGTGATTGGAGTTTCACAGTTGGCATCCTCATGGCCTTGTTGTTTTGTGCTGTCGGGCAGACAGAAGCACGTGATGCTGCTCCATAGTTTCCAGAATGTGTTCATGCACAGCCTCTTTGTCTTGTAGAGTCCTGGCCTTCTTCCTTCCATTGCTGCCACTAGATTGATGATTGTGGTGGGGGTGCTGAAAACTTGGCACTCCTCTTAGTGGCCAGACTTGGCCTCAGAAAGACCTGGATTTAAATCCTCCTGGGGCCGTGGAGTAATTGCTCCTCTGGCAAAGTCTCCAGGTCTTGCTTGTTGACTAAGCTGTGGAATGGCTTTGGTCTGCCTTGGAGGATAGTGTCCCCGTGGGAAGAATCCTTGCTGTGTTACCTGGCTCATCTCATTTGGCTTCATAACATCCATGAGAAGTATTGCTGTCCAGATAGGACGCTGGGGCTCAGAGAGGGCTTGCTTGTGGTCATGGCCCTGGGATGTCAGAGATGGAAGTGGAATCCCAGGTCCCCCTCCTGTCTCTGGACGTGGGCCATCCCTCGTGCTGGTGGTACCGCTGCGTGGGCGTTGTCGCAGGGTAGGCAGTGGGTTACTCATCCCCTGGGTTCTGGATTGCACACTGCCATGGATTTCGCTGAGGCAGCTTTGTCATGTTTCGGGTCCTTGCAGTTTACACGCGGTCATCAAGGAAGAGGAGCATTTGGTGAGTCTCTGACTGTAAAAGTGGGGCTGACCTACTCTGCTTCCCATTGGTTGGTTTTGGCTCTTCTGGATCTCATTCCAGGGTCTCTGGAGGCTTTAGAAAAGAGGCCCATATTCCCACTCATATCAGCCTTGTTTCTTGTCTCTCTCTGCTCCAGAGCTTATGCGTGTGATGGTGGCAGCAGTTTCTGGGCTCTTTTGTTCTCCTCCTTGTGACAGCAGTTGAGCGTTTGTTAAACATCTAGGAAACAGTGAAGTTCTCTGTTTGTGGCTTTGTCCAGACCTCATGTTTCTTGATTGACAACTTTTGTAAACCTCTGTCAGCTAGTTTGGGTCTGTTAAGCCAGAGGGCAGAACGTTCTGAAGTGACTGCTGCATCGGTGTGAACATTTGTTGCCTTCTGTTCGTTTTGGTTGTGATTTAGTTTTCGACATGTTTAGTGATTCCAAACTGCCTTCTTGATTCAATCAGTTGAAAACAGTATACTTTCAACATGTTCTAAGTCTTCTGAAGAGTCTGTCTGCCTTTGGGGTCTTCCAGTTTTAGTTTCTTTTCATCCTCTTGCATGAGCATTATCACATAGTAGGAACGGTCTCATTGCATGGGTAAAGACTTTGAAGGGTCTGTTGTGAAGGACAAAAACCCAGCCTCTGGCACAATACAGTGGAAGGCAAAGGCCAGGGCTGCTAGTGTCTTCCCCTTTCAGATGACCTTCCGCACACTCTGTGTACGTCTTGGGTGTACCTAATTATTTATGTATTGTCTTCCCGTTTGGAGTATTTGCTCCTTGACGCCAGGTCTGTTCATGCCTTTCTTCTTGTCCCTCCTCGTTAGCGCAGTACCTGGTTAGCATGATAGCTGCTATACGGAGCATGCTTAATCAGTGTTGTTGACTGATCGACAGACTGATTCTGTTGGCTGGCCAACACCATTTCCTCCAGCAGGTTCCAGTTTATATATACACATATATATGTGTATAGTACATCCAGCATATGTAATACTAGACACGTGTATCTAAGGTGTTGTACATATAAAGTATTATATACATATAGGGAATATATGTGCATACATATACACACATATAAAATAAAAATAAGAAGTAAAAAGCAAAGATTTTTAGAAATCGTTCATCACATTTGAGAAAAGCACAAACACGTGACCAGGAAGCCCTTTTCCACCAATTGCTCACAGCGGCCACTGGCACGTGCTCCCCTTGGTAGGACTCCATCTGGAAGACTTGCGGCCTCCATTGGAGTCCTCTTCCTGCTGTTTGGAAACTGGCTGTGGAAAACAGCCAGCTATTAATAATTGCTGGAGGGCTTTCTTTTTGGTAGCTGTATGGAATCACTTGCATTAATTGGGAGGAGGAAAGGCCCTGCAGAAATCCTTCCATGGAGGTATCTGGTGAGAACATCTTCAGCATCATGAGGAAGGGTGGGTGCCAACAAGGGCCATGGATCTCCAGCATTGTGCCCTGCCTCCCTTGGGGTCCTATGGGAGCTGCCACATGCAGCAGGCCTGGCCAATACAACTCCTTTCTGACTGTTGAAATACAGGGGGCCTTCTGCCAGCCCCTCCCTCTTTGGAACTGGCTTTATTAGAAATATTTTGGAAAGTAAAATCCCTACCTCCTGAAGGCCTCCTAGCTCCCTCTTCTTGTGAGCTGGCCATGAGCTAGAGGGCACCCCAGAGAAAGTTGCTCCCTTTCCTTGGGCATGGCCAGTGTATCCCCTTTCCTGGGGCAGCCTGGCTCCCTGGCCTCCCTCGTTGGGGTCCAGGACCGTACTCTGACACCCGGTTTTCTTAACCCCTTTTCCTGCTCTCCAAACAGACAAGAGCAAAGTGTGGTGTTGGTATCTTGTGTGATTGTGGCTATCAACCAACTGTAACCGTTGTTAACTGTACTGAAGGTGTGTCCTTACTTGTGTTCACATATAAAACAAGCTGCTGCCCCCCCAAAAAATTTATGTGTCACAACCTCTTGCAACCTGGTTAGTCACTCTGAGAAAGACATTGGTGACAAGTCAGCAAGCATTTATAAAGTACCTACTGTGTGCCAGGCGTAGCACTAAGCACTGGACATGTTATGAGAAACTTGGCAAGACCCTGGGATGAAGTTCAGCCCCCCTCACAGGGAAGCGGATGTGGCTGCCCAGGCTGCACTGAAAAGGAGACTGGTTTGAAGATGGAGCCACTCGGGTCAAGAGGAAAAAGTCGCAGGGCCCTTCGCCTGTGCGTTTGTGGTCTTGAGAAAGTCTCTCTCTTTGGAGCAGATCTTGCAATGTTTTCTTGCTTCGATTCCTTCTTTGGGAACTCTAGGAGGCAGAATGACCAGACAGTCCATGGAATTGTGGTTCTGGTGGAGCCCATTGCAACCTGTCCAGAGAGAACAGGGCAGACTTCTTTTCATCAGCCCTTCTCTATGCACCTCAGTCTAGGGATAGACCAGCAGGTCCAGTTCATTTGTCCAGTACTTGGATACAGATTACTTGTAATGATTGCCAGTGGTTACTCTGTCCCTAGCTTCCCAACTCTCCCGTTCCTAATCCTGGCCTTTTCTTTGCTGCTTTCCCACCTTGTGCTTTGGAAACAGAAGATCCTGTAGTCTTGAGGGATGTTTTGAGACTGTGTTATCACCTGGTGAAGAGTGCCTCACCTTGGAAATGAGCCTCTGCAGTCCGCTTGGCTGACTCTCTGGGCTCTTGGAGGGCAGATGCATCGTATCACTCAGTGAGGTCACTGGGTCAGATGGGGTGTGGAGTTTGGTGACTTTGGGGGTGTATTTTGAAATGGCCCTGGAAAGGGCAGTCCACCCACCAAGTGCTTCAACAGGCCTGTTTTCCTGTGGCTCCTCCCCCATTTCCCATTTCCCCTTTTTGTCAGCATTGCCAGTCTAATGGATGTGAGGTGGGACCTCGGATTTATCCCTCCAGTTCAGGATTTCTTAGCCTTTTGTTGTGGTCCCCACTGGCAGTCTGATAAAGTTTATGGACTACTTTCTTAGAAAAAGGTTTTTAAATGCATAAAATGAAATCGGAGGATTACAAAGGAAACTAATTACATTGAAATATCTGTGAAAATATTTTACAGAGCTGGTTTACAGATCCCACTTCAAGATCTCCTTTTCTAATTATTAGTGATTTGGAGCATTTTTTTCCCAGTATGGCAATTGATAGGAAGGAGATGCCTGGATCTTGGCCTGTCTTTGTGCTCAGCAACTCAGTTTCTCAAGTCTGTCATTTGTTCACTCATCTCTTCCCACAGTACTCTTGCTTCCATCTTTCCCTCTGTTGATTCCCCCCCTAGAGAACCTCATCTCCATGTCCCCTTGTCCTTCCACGCCGCCTCCTCAGGAGGAGCAGACAGAGAGAAGGAATGAGCCCTTATTTGTTGGGGATGAAGGAGCAGCAGTTTTGTCTGCAGGAGTTGCTATTATGATCGTGTTAAAGGAACTGTTTTCCTTTAGTTTCCATAGATAGCATTAATAACATGTGGGTGAAGGGGAGCTTATGGGGCTGACGATTTTTGTAAGATCGAGCCTACATTTGGCCAGACCACATGCTCCTGGAGGGAAAGAACTTTGGGTCCTTTTGGTCTTCACTGTAGGCTTGTTGATAACCTCGTTAATAAATGCTGTCGTAAAACTCCCTTGTAGGTGGGTCCACATAGTCTGTGCCCTGTATGTCCCAGGAGTGGCTTTTGGTGATATTGACAAGCTGCGGCCTGTGACCCTTACAGAGATGAATTACTCCAAGTATGGGGCCAAGGTAAGATCAAACTCTTCTACTGGGCTTTGTGAGGTTTTCCAGTGCCCTTTTTTGGAGTAGTTTACATTTTATAAATTTATTAGTCATTATATGATGTTCTCTGGAGCACGTTAAAAGGGTTTCAGATACAAATTGTGGATGTTAGTCGTGGGTGGGTTTTTTCTCTGAAGAGCTTGGGGGATAATTCACTAATACAAATTTTTTTACGTATCTATTATGTGCAAGGTTTTCTGTGATGGACAGCACATCCTCTGCCCCAAGAATCTTCCTCTCAAACAGTAGTTTTACATGGAAAACGTGGTCACGAGCATCAGCATGCCTGGCTGACCCTTGTCTCATGTGTGGTGTTGAAGGCACATTTTGCTGCAGTCAGGAGCCCCCGGGCTTCTAGAAATTCTAGGGAGAAATCTCACTGGACACACTTAGGCACATGGATCAGGCTCGCACTACCAGTTTGCTCATCTGCATTGAACAGTCTGGTGGTCTCTGCTCAGGGCACTGAGGCCCCCACATTGCTGGCCAGCTCAGTCTTTTTCCCTTAACCAAGTTGATGTGTTTGGGGTGGGAAGAAGGAGAACAACGAGAAGGCTTTTGGTGTGATAGGGCAGGAGTAGGGCGGCCTTCAGGAATGCTGCTGTTGAGCCAGGCTAGTTGGCAGTGTCCACCTTTTCCTGGGGTATACCCTGTACCTGCCCAGCCCCTCAGCTTTGGAGAAACATGAAAATGACTCTTTGCTTCCTTTCTTCGGAGTCCAAACACATGTTCTGTGGCTCTGAACCTTTGGCATGTCACAGCCTCTCTGGGCCTCAGTTTCCTCCTCTGAGGCTCTTCCAGCCCTAAAGCTGCAATCCTACCATCCTCTCTAGTTACATTTATAGGGATCCTTTCCTGGCGAGATGGGGGTGTCCCTCTTGTCTCCTCAGGAGCATCTTTTCCCCAGATCTCTTAGCTTTTAGTATTTGGGAAATATTCTTTGTGACTCTGGGTCTCGAGCAGAAGCCACCTCCCTTTGGGAGTTGGGCTCTTCTTTGTGTAAGCAGACTTCATCCCAGAGGACATTTTGAAGCCTAGTGTTCAGAACCTCTACGAACTTTCCCACAGATTTCCATGTGAGGTGTAGGAGTTGTATACCAAGGGAAGTGTCCCAGGTCGACTTACCCCCTCATTGTTACTGCCCGTATTTCTTAGAGCATGTCACAGCTGATAAGTAACTAGTCAACAATGGTTCATTAAAAGCCTCCTGTGCGCCTGCCCTTTCCCCAGAAGAGTCTTGGGAGGAAGGAAGGGAAGAGGACAAGCATGCTTTATGCTCATGGAAGTGACAGTTGGCATTGACCTAGCTTAGGTCTAATTCAGGACCCCTTAGGGGACAGAGACCCCTCCTGGGAGCAGACTGTGGAGGAGGAGCTTGGCAGGATGGGTGTCAACACTGATGAATGAATTGTGAGCCCTTGATGCTCCCTCCTCTGCCTGAGGTGAGGTGGGACCCTGCTCGCTCACGCCCAAGGACTGCTGAGGTGGGACTTGCAGCCTCCATTTCTTGCTGAGAATCACACTCATCTCCCTGTCACCGGCTGCAGGAGGCCCTTCCTGGTCTGAGGCTCCCCTCCCTGTCACAGTGACTGGCACTCAGGTAGAGAGTGCATACTCGACCTCTGTGGGCCTGTGACGCGCTCACTCTTGTGCTGTGTTCAAGGCTTGGTCACGGACTCTGCAAAGAACAGTGCTTTGGCACAAAACTCTTCCCATAGAGCTGCCATTCACTCCTCAAGCAGTGTGGCCCATCAAGAAGAGAGCCAGCCTCGAAGCCAGCCAGACCAGGGTTCAAGTCCCCTCCCAGATTAAAACGTTCTTGGGAAATGTTGGGCAGAATAGGTCAGAAGATGGCAGGTGGTTGCCCCAGCCAGCAGATGGCCACAGGAATTCTCCGGGACACCCTGCGGCCCTGGTTCTGGGTGGCTTTGGCACCACTGCTCCAGGCAGTTCCAGGGCTGTGTGTTGCAGTGTCCATCGCCCTGGAAGATAAGCCTGAGTTCATGGAAAACCCAGGTCCCAAGCTCATCCCGTCCGTCCACCTGACGACATTTTTTTCTTAAGCCAGTTTAGTCCCTGTCCTTACTTTGTTCGCTGCCTTATTATTCACAGGTCTGACTGTGTCATCCCCTACTCAGTAAACTGCAGTGGCTCCCTGTCTCCTCCAGGTTCAAATAGGAAACACCCCGTCCCTATCCTCTTATACCCAAACCCCTCCCCTCTCCCCCATTTCGCCATACGATATTGTGCTCCAGGGACATGGGCCTCCTGGCTGATCCTTGAACAGAATACTCCATCTCGAATGCCTTTTCTCTGGCCTCCCTCTGTGCCTGTGATGCTTCCCTTTCTCGTGTTCACTGCCTGGCTTCCCTGCACGTCACTCAAGCATGGTGCTTTTTGGTCGCTGTGGAAGCTCCATTGTCCTCGTCTGAAAGGAAGCATTGCTCATGTCCATACGTCTCCATTCTGTTTGAGCCAGAAAGGTGTGGGGGTGCCAGTGTCTGGAATGTTGCAGAGTGAGCAGTTTTCTTTTGGTTCTGTGGTAGGAATGCAGCTTCTGTGAAGATCCCCGTTTTGCCAGAACTGGAGTGTGCATCAGTTGTGATGCAGGAATGTGCCGGGCCTATTTCCATGTCACCTGCGCCCAGAAGGAGGGTCTGCTTTCTGAAGCTGCTGCAGAAGAGGTAAGCTCAGCCTGGCCCAGGGGGCGGCGGGAGCGATTCAAGTGTTTCTCGTGGTATCTGACCCCAGGCCTCATTTTATGTGCCCAGAGTGAACAGGTTGGACTTGCTATGAGATTGCCCCGGCCGACTCTGGAGCAGTGTTCCATGCATTTTAAAAATTGGTTAATTCTGGGGCAGCTAGGTGGCACAGTGGGGTAGAGCACTGGCCCTGAAGTCAGGAGGACCTGAGTTCAGATCTGGCCTCAAACACTTCACACTCAGTAGCCGTGTGACCCTGGGCAAGTTACTTAACCCCATTGCCTAACCAAAAAAAAAAAAAAGAAGAAGAAAAGAAAAATTATTAATTAAAATGATAAATTTTAATGGTCTGAATTCTCCTATTAAAAGATAAGGAGTTACAGAATGGATCAAGAATGATTATTATGGATGCTTAAAAGAAGCACGTTGAATAAAAAAATAAATCGATGAAGGTTAGACATTGGTTTGTAGTGCTTCATCCACCCACAAGTACAAAAAATGGCAACAATGTTATCTGATAGTTCTCCTGGATTCAACCTAGGAAACATTGAAAGAGATTGACAAGGACATTACTTAATAGTGTTAAGGAAAAAATAATAAATATGTCAGTTCTCAAGTTGTATGCACCAAACATAAAAGAATTGTTAAGATTAGAGGAAGAAACAGATAAACAATTTAACAGTGATATAATTGGAAACTTTAGTATTCCATTACAAAAATATGAAATTAAAATAAAATAGGTCAGTAACAAAGAACTCACAGATTGATTGCTTGTTGTACAGTTGAAATTAACATGGAAGAATGAAATGGAAGAAATAAAGAATTTTTATAATTTTCTGCTATGTAGAAATGTTCAATACTGAACATGTGCTAAGTCATAGGGAACCTGTCCCTTTGTAACTTTCAGAGGAGAAACATTCTATATGCTGTCTTTCCAAATCACAATATAATATTAGGATGAAATTACAATAACCTCAGTAGAACTGATGAAACTATGAAAACCGAAAAATAATGATGAAGAAAGATTAAGTTGTAAAAGAAATAAGGAAAATGCTATTGAATATTGAAGAGAGAAACAGCAGTGACACGTGTACAAATTTGTGCATCCATCACAGCCATGGTGGTCTATAGAGTCCATGAATGAGAGCAAACAGGGAAAAAAATGAATTCAGCTTGTACCTAAAGTGCAAACCAGTAGTCCGAAAGAATGTAGAAAAGAGTAATTATAAAGTTAAGAGCAAAAATAAATAGAATATAAAATGAAAGAACATTTGAGTTGACTTGATAAACCCAGAAGCTCATTTGAAAAAATGAACCAAGAATATTCAAGAGGAATACTACCCACAGCTATATTCTGACAAATTAAATAAATTAGAACTAATAGATGCCTATCTACAAAAGCATAATTTACCCAAACGGACACAATGGGAAATACTAATTTCTTCTTGGAAGAAGAAAAGTAGGTCATCAGAGAATTATCCCACACAAAGACACATGCCCCAGATGGATTACCAGGTTAATGCTTTTGACCCTTCCACAAACAAATAATCCCTGTGCTATGTAGAGCATTCATAAATGTGGAGAAAGATGGAATGTAACCCAATATCTTTTCTGAAGCAAGTACCTTATGGATTTTAAAGCATGACAAGGACAACACCATGAAGACAATTATAGCTCCTTTCCCCTAATTAGTGTAGAATGAAAAAATAAAGAAATAGCAGAACATATCAAAGCAGTAAACACATTATTTACCATGAACAAGCAGGGCTTGGCTCAATGCAGTATATCGTGTTAGCAAAAGTCTCAAACTCGTATGATTAAATCATGAAGTACAGAAAACATTTTTTTGATGGAACTTAGCATTCATTCATATTAAGACACTTAAAGAAACAGGAATAGAGCAGCACCTTTTAACCTCTTTGTGTCTTGGATTCCTTTGGTGTTCAGGTTGGTGAATTCTCTGGACCCCTGCTCAGAGTGATGTTTTCAGAGGCATAGAGTAATGTACATGAGATTACACTGTAAGCCAGTTATACTGAATTATGGTTATCAAGCATTAAAAGTTCCAAGTTCAAGGATGCCAGGTTCAGAATCTTTGGAATAGAGTGTTTCTTCACCATGATAACAATGACCTACCCGAAACCAAGAGCCAACATGCTGGCAGTACTGAAACCTTAGGGGCATTCTTGGTGGAGATGAGCAGAACCAGAGTGCCCCAGTCTTTGCTTTTATTTAACACAGCATTAGAAGTTCTTGACATTGCAGAAAAATAGGAACAAAGATCTCAGGATGTTACTGTTGGAAACATAGGTCAAAGTATGCTTATTCTCTGCTGACATGATAATAGTGCATCTAGAAAAATCCATTTATCTTTATCAGAAAATTAATTGAAACAATAAATAAGATCAAAGGTCCAGGGTACGAGCTTCATCCAGAGAAATCATTTGTATTCTTACTGCCTAGACTCAAGGTTCAGGAAATATTACTTTAAAAACCCCTTGTCAGAACGCAGACCATCCTATCTTCGTGGTCTTGCAGTTCCCAAGGGAAAAGAATGCTACTTTTGCCATCACCTTTCTCCTCTCCTTTAAGAAGAGATTAGTCCTTTTCCCCTCCCCTATGACTTCCCCTTTTCCCTGTAACTTAAATACCAAGGCTCTCTTTCCCTATGCTGCTGGTGTCTTTGGTATAGGGAGTTTCCACACACATGTGCCTTTCCCTTATAATAAATCCAGTTGCAATGCATGTCTCATGGACTTGTGGTGTTGTTTTTGGTTAACAATACAGTGGTCTGTACCGGTACAGGTCATCGTCAAGGTTGACTCGTGAAAGTGGCCCCAAGATGAGGTCTACCAAGTACACGTGCATCCCGGCGGGGTGGGGCGCTTAGGAAGCCTGAGTGGCTGGCAGCCCCTCCACTGCTCTCACTGGCCTCGAGCTCTCAAAGGCCCGGAGCTGGTCTGGCTTTCAAAGCTTTGGCCAGATTCCCCATGGTGAGTTTTGGGGAGTTTTTAGGTAAGATTCACCCTCAGTGAGAAGGCCTGGATTGGGTGGCCGTCAGTGTCATTGAAAGGATCTCAGATCCAGAAATCTTTCAATAGATGGTGAGTTGGAACCCGAGCAGGGAGTTTTCAGAGAAAGGTGGTTAAAAAAAAATTCATCTTTCTTTCCTACATAAGTGTATATATGTATTTCCTTTTAATTCTGCACACCCAGTGTCATGAAATGGCCAGTTCTACAAAGCCTAATTCCAAGATAGGCTTTTTGTTATGATGGGATTTTATAGTCGGCGTTTTTGGTAGTAATTGGGCCGTTGGCTCAGACTTGGAAATCTCTGGGTGGTGAGGCTGGTGTAACATCTCACCCCTCCCTAAGATCTGCTTCACTCTCTGTGACGTTGCTGTGCAGCCAGTCTCCTGAGAATATGCTGACTCGTCTTTCTAGCTGTTGAATTACTCCCTACCCTTTAGAAGCCAAGTTGGGTGCCACCTTCTCCACAGTTCCCACCTTGGGGCGCTGCCTTCCCTCCCCACGCTACATGTTGGTCCGTCTGCTTCATCCATCGTGGCGTGGTTCCTCAGTTTCCAAGGTTTGTGTCATATCCCCTTAGTAAACTGTGAGCACCCTAACGGCTAGGACCATCCCTTGTCTTGCCTTTTCTCTCTCTCTTCTCTTACCCCCCCCCCTTCTGCCAGTGCCTGGAACAGCCGCCTTCACACAGCAGGCACCAAAGAGAAGCTTGCTCCTGTGTATTGGATTATGATGGCATTGGCTGGGACAGCATGGGGCTGTGCCCAGTTTTGTGACTGTGACTTCCTCACGTCTTGTATTCCCTGTTTGACTCTGTTCTTTGTATGTGCAAGGTTATTCCTTGTTTGCTAATTTCTTGCTGTGTGAAGATGGGCAGAGCATGGGACCACCGTGCGGCAAGCTAAGGACATGCCTTTGGGTCTCTTACCACTCTTTGGTGTGGGACCTGTTCTCTCATGCCTTGACGGGATGATGTCTTTTCCACCTTCTTGGGATGCTTTGAGTCAGTGTGTGAAAGCAAAGCGTCCGGCCACCTTTTAAAGAAATGTTACCCGTGAAGTCAAAGACTTTGATGGAGTGGTTCTTTGATGTGTGTTTCAGCAATGTCTCCCCTCTTTAACAGCGTTTGTAAAGTGCTTATCACAACGTTTAGCACACGGCAGGTGTCTAATAAATGCTTATTCCTGCCCTGCTCCATTCCATCTGGTGTCAGGGCTATGGGAGCGAAGGGGCTTCTCGGAGTCAGGCTGGACCTCCTGTTTCCTGTCTGCCTCTGAGATGCTCTTGCCCATCCTTCCCTCCACATGTCAGCAGAGCTGGCTGTGCCATCTTACTCGTCCTCGTGCTTGGGCACAGGTACTCTGGGTATTTGGGCAGGCCGTTGGCTGGGGGCCTTCAACAACCAGCTTTCCTCCCTCCCCAGTTGTTAGTGCCTGGTTTGTATCGACTTAGATGAACCAATCAGTGAACATTTGTTCAGTGCCTACTGTGTGCCAGGCACTGTGCTAAAACTCTGGGTGCAGAAGGAGGCAAAGCATAGGCCCTGCCCTCAAGGAGGTCACGGTTTAATGGGGATTTTGTGTCACGTTCAGAGGTAAGGTTGTCTCTTTTGCTGGGGAGAGGCTGTTAGGCTTTTTCCTTTGCCTCCTCAGCCCCGGACACAGAGCCAGGCACACAGGAGGTGCTTAATCAGTGCCTGTTGATTGGTCAGGATTCCTGTGGTCTTGTCGCCTCCTTTTTACATGATAAGTGAGGTTCTTTTTCTAAGCAACAGCACCCGCACGCTTTAGTGGGTACAGTTAATGCTGCTTCCACCTCTTGGTTTTCTGGGACCTCAGATCACAGGTACGTTAGGTAAGTTCTCAGGGAGAAATTCTCTGCCGCTGTAGCTGTCTCTTTCTCTGCGGCAGAGACATCAGGGGTTACCGACTCAGCTGTGGCCACACACTGGT